GGTTAGAATAGTAAAAATTTAATGTTTTATTCTTTCTGAGAAAAAAATTTCTTCCCGGTAAATATGAGTAAAAGTTGTTCACCTTAGTAGTAAACTCAGTCAAGACCTGTAAGTCAAAATCTTGTCTATATATTCCGACTTCAGCTTCAATGATTGCTAAAGTAGAAACGTAATTATTGTTTGACGTTTTTCTCTTCCGCCAGAGTTTCTTTACTAAATCCTGCCAGTAATATCACGGGCCTCGTAAAGAGCTAGTCTCTAATAATATTGTAATCTTCTGCTCCCAACCATTTTGTTTTACGAATAAATAAAAACAAACTTTTTATATCTCTGGAACTTGCTTTAGCAATTTGTGCAGGAAAGAGATTTCTAGTTCAATTTTTTTCTCTGTTTTATACGCAAGCAATCAACATTCGTAATACCAAGAAGCTTTAATTGGCGACAATTAGTTTTGAATAATCGTTAGCTGACAATCTAAAATTGGCAATTTTATGAAATTCTTGCCCAGCAAGAAACATTCTGTCGAATTATAAGACGTCAATGACGTACTGGTAGCAATGGTGCAAATTTGAACCTGAACAATTAAAATTTGGAAAGATTTTATCAAAGCTCTTTTCTCTAATGTATATCTAATAGGTGTAGTAATAAATCACTTTAAATATTCGTCACCAGTTTAAGTATCTCGTAAATAAATACAACGTTTTTCTTTAATAGCAATATCCTTTATCCGCGGTTAATCCGAGAAAGAAACATTTAATAAGTTTTACTTATTAATAGTTTCAAATTGGAAGGGTAATGAAGCTTGTAGCTTGGATATGCCAAAAAAGCCCCTAAATGGTAATAATAATTAGTTGTTTCTTTATAAGGAAACATTCAGCTAAAATTGTTTCTATTTGTTTCCTAATAAGGAAACATTCATTGACCATGTGCTGAAATTGATAAAATCTTTCTCTTAAAACAATCTCTCATGAAAAGTCTACTATTAATCATTCTTTGTAGTAATAAGGAAGGCGGCTTCCTTTCTAACTTTTCTTTAAGTATTTTCACTTTGAATTGTATATCCGATTTATCTTTTTTGTTTCTACTGTTGACGCTTTCTGCTGAAGTTAAGATTAATTCCATAAAATATTCCAAGCAGTACATTAATCTTTATCATAAAATATTAGTCGATAAGCTTTTAGCCTTCTGCAATTTCTCAAAAACAAATGGCGGCCAAATGATAATGTTAACGGTAACATTAGCCGTTGACCAAACAGCAAGTGATACACGAGTTATGCTTTTCTTCATTCCCTGGCTATATGACTGGGATCAAAACATAGTATCTGTTCTCTTCATTTCTAACGGTAATTGTAATATTGAACGTTTCCTTATAAGGAAACATTCGGCATTCATTGACCAAGCAGCCAGTGCTACTTTAGTTATGCTTTTCTTCCATCTCTGACTGGGATAAAACATAGTACCCGTTCACTTCGTTTCTAACGGTAATGTTAATATTGGACGTTTCCTTATAAGAAAACATTCGGCATTCATTGACCAAGCATCCAGAGCTACTTTCGGTTGAAATTTATAAAATCTAAATCTTAAAACAATTTTTCAGAAAAATAGGTTTCCTAACTCCAGTAAATGTTATCGCTATTCCCTAGGTGGATGCGGTCTTCTTTTCTAACTTTTTGTACGAACAAGTGTGGAATATCTGTATTTTTCTTTCCTTTAAATGTAAAGGTGAAACTTCACGATGTAATAAGAAAAAAAAAAGGCATTCATATCTTTTACCCGTCACATAATTTTTATTAGAATTTTTTTTTTCGTGTGGGCACTTTGCTATGTTATCCAGACTTTATGAATTTAAGCGAAGTACTAACAACAAGATCTTATCAATTTACAGTTGAATTGGTGAGATAAAACCGTAAGTTCTATGCTAACAGTTTTTTTTTTCTCGTACTTATTGAACTCTCTTCTAGATTCATGCATTCTGGCCATCTTTGATCTTCAAAAATTGAATATCAATGTCTGTTTTCCTAATTCCTTTTTCATTGTTCCCTCTCTATTACAACAATAAACCCTTGTGTTTTAGAGGCTTTACTGCCTTACTTGGGGTAATTTCGATTAAAAAAATACCTCACTATTTACATTATTCGGATTATTGTCCTCAACTTTGTCGCCATATTTTTACAACCTTTCGGCCGTTGTACGCTCCTGCCTTCTTCAGGTGGTTGGAATGTCGAACTAAACCCTTTTAGGACATGGCACAGTAGATAAAGGCGTTAGTTAGATCCAATGACAGGACCCAAAGAGTGTGAGTTCAATACCCAGTTAATGCAGTGGAGAAATTGGAGAGGGGAATTAACAGGCGATAACTGATGACTGACATCCATTAAACATGGCACGTGGAACTAGAACAGTCTATCCCAGTCAGCGAAATAAAGGGTTCAGTTCGACATTCCAACCACCTGAAGAAGGCCGGAGCGTACAATGGCCGAAACGTTGTAATAAATATGGCAACAAAGATGAGGAAAATAGTCTGAATAATGTAAATTCGGAGCATTATCCGTATCTTCATTACCATATTCACAACGATTCGGCCGTTGTAGGCTCCGACCTTCTTCAGTTGACTGAAATTTCGAACCGAACCCTTTATTTCGTCCACCCGGGTAGATTGTTGAAATTCCACATACCCTGCTTTTTCCTGATGTCTCATTTATTTCCCTTTAACCGATCAATCCAAGTTTTGGTTCACCACTGCTGTGGCCTGGTATTGAACTCACAACTCTTTGGGTTTAGTCACTAGATTTAACCAAGTCACTGTGCCATATGTCCTCAAGGGTACATGGCCCAGTGGATAAAGACGTTGGTTAGATCCAGTGACTAGACTCAAAGACTTGAGATTTCAATGCCATGCCACAGCAGTAGTGGACCAAAATTTAGAGAGTTGAGTTAAAGGGAAATAACTGAGACATCCGGAAGAGGCATGGCACGTGGGACTAGAACAATCTACTAAAGGGTTCGGTTCGAAATTCAAATCACCTTAAGAAGGCCGGAGCCTACAACGGTCGAAACGTTGTGAATATGGCAATGAAGATGAGGATAACAGTCCGAATAAGGTAAATAATGCAAGTCGCTCAAAGACTTTTATCGGCATTGATCTTAGAAAGCCGTTGTATACGGCTTACAGTTTAGATATTTCTGAATAAGTTTAGTGCCAGGCATGACATCCATGGAAACTAGCTCTGTCACAGCCGATTCTATTGTTAATTTCTTCTGATATAATTAAAATTGTTATAACTGATTCATATATATATATATATATATATATATATATATAAATACATAAATTCCCAAGATGATAGAATCCAGGTAGAACTCAATGTCCAGGACAGAGTAAGAATATAATATAAAGGTTTCAAACACTAAATTTCTATGGTTATGATTTGTTACATTGGAATCGTAATCACGATCCAATTCATCAGACCTACAAATTCAAATATATATATATATATATATATATATATATATATATATATATATATATATATATATATATAATTTCCTCAGGATTATATATATATATATATATATATATATAATTTCCTCAGGATTATTTGCAATTTCAAACATTTGATGAGGGTGTCTTGGAACATCTCCTCCTGATAAGAATGACCTCTTTCCTAATTATTTCATGTTTTTTTTTTGGGGGGGGAGAGGGAACAACGAACTAGCCATTAATTCATTTCCCGTAAACAATACTTCATCATGGCTCTCCAAGAATATCCTAAATCATGCAACTATCAAAGTAAAATCCAGAAATTAAGAAATATATCGCTTACTCGCCTGATTTTCTTCTTTGTCTTGTATGCCAGTCTTCTTTTATGTCACTTCAAAACCTTTTCAGTTATGGCTCTCTACAATTTCCTGTTCTTTGTATCACTTAGTAAATTTTCTGTTTTTTTTTTTTTTCTATCTCACCTGCGAGCCACTTACACAAGCTTCTTAGGCAGGGGTTATCCGCCGTTTTCCCCTGTCCCTCTTGCGTTTAATATTTCCTGTCAGTGTCTAATTTTCTAAACCCTCTTTCCTCATTAGATTTCTCTGGAAATGTCCATAGTATCTTTCCGATGTTATGTTGGTTGGTTGATTTTGCAAAGTGGCATATCAGCGTCTATTAGTTATTTAATACCAAAATTTAAATATTTTGAACACAATTTTATGGCTTCAACTACAGTTAAAATATATTGTTGGTAATTTTACTATAAAATGTGTTGCTGATCGTTTTCCTATAAATATGCATTATTGGTAATTTTACTCTGAAAATGTATTTTTATACTTTCATAGCATATTTTTAGGGGGGGGGCTAATATTTCCCCATTGCTGGAACCCTAATGGATGCTACAACCTCGGGTTAGGTTGAACCTGGGAACAACAGCAATTAAGAAGTGGTTCTACATTCCTGAAACCACCAATCTCCCGACCGGACGCCTTGCTACCGGATATAGTTTATTCCGATGTTCCATTTTAGTTCCATCCAGTAACAAGACACTTTTTTTCGAGATATCTGTGTAGAGATTTCAGGAAAATTGATCCATGCCTTTTTACTTGATGTGAAGTTAATTCAAGCAACCCTGAAGTTCGAACTTGGTTCGCTGATTTGGTTTGCTGAGCTTGCGAAAATTATACCCTCCTCCCACCCATCACTATTTTTAAGAAATAAAAATCCGGGAAAAACACGCTCCGTGGATCTTCAGTTAGTTTATTTTTGTTAAACCTTTGTAAAAGTTTTGCAAAGTTTATATTTTCAGAAATATGGAAGAATATCAAGTTTTATATTCTCAATAATAATAATAATAATAAAAATCCGAAGACATTTCTTCTTGTGTGTATATCTCTTTCCTATATTTCTATACCCAGTTAAGCATCTGCTTAAACATGAAATTATTATATCTGATAATCGTTCTTTTTTTTTGTTTGTTTTTTACTTCTTTTGTTTTCAGGAGATAATTATCGCGATGGCAGAGGAAAAGAACATCTATTTGTTTTGTTCTTGCTTTTAGAGCACCTGCTTGCGCCGAATGTAAAGTTTTCGCCCTCATCTGATAGATTACAAAGCAGGTGTCTCCGATCTCCGAGGTGCGATATACATTTACATTCTGACATAAAGATTGTTTTCTGAACTGTTACTTTTTGTTTGTCTCCGTCGTCTTTTCCGAAAACAACGTATTGAAAACATGTGTACGTTTCTCAAAGCCTGTACCGCTGTTGTTGTTGTTCTTCTTTGTCTTGTGTTTTAGATTTGTCGAGTGGATATTCGTGTCCTTTTCCGTTCATATCTCACAATCGTTTGTATTATTCGTCGTTGTCAACTCTCTTGTCCCATCTCCGCTTCTCCTAATAACCTCCCGCCCACCCGCTCGTCGATTCTCAAATATGAATATTGCCTCCAGTTCGCATTTAGCGTCATCTAGTTTGTTTGCACCTGCTTTTTGATCAAGACGGATTAGATTCGACCATTCATTGGATTCTTTTCGGATTAAAAGCATAAATAAGTAAAAATGAACTTTTGAGAAACAGATTATGACGTGACAGAAAGGAAAGTTCCGTAAATTTATTTTTGCTATTTTTTATTGCTCTTGTTGTTATTTGTTTTGCTTTTGTTGTTGGTGTTTTAAAGTTGTTTTGTTTCGTTGCTTTTTTTGTTTTGTTTTGTTTTTTTTTGTTTGTTGGGGTTTTTTTTTTTGTATCTCGAGTCTAAACATTGTGGTTTGGTAAATATTCTCTTCTCAGAAACAATATAAAGGCATCGTATTTCTTTTTTTCAATCACAAGACAAAATGTAAAATTCTGGTTTATACACGTGACAAAATCACCTGCCTCAAAAGAAGAACATTGCAAAACAATTATTAACACATTATATATTATACACACTTTAAAATATTAATGCTTACCAAAAATATTCCTCTGTATATAATCTTCGAAAAATTCGTTTCAAACTCTTCTATACGTGCTTAAAGCTTTCATTGTTACATTGTTATAGCATTGTTGCGGGTCTGTGCGGACCGATTTTAAAGAAAAATATGAAATTGCTATTTAATGACGATGACAAATATTTCTCATGGGCGCCGCCATTTTGGCTTCGATCAAATATTCTGCAGTTAAGAAGCTAGTCTGACAATCATTTCTACTGAAGTAAATTTCCAGCCTTATACTGTGTCCAAATATTTTCAACTTTTTGACGCATTAATTCGGTTTCGTAACGACAGAGGCAAACACGGTCTTTTTTGTATACACTCCCGCTCTCATTTCCTTTCTCTCTCTTTTTCCTCTATTTCTCTTTCTCTCTCTCTCTCTCTCTCCCCTTCTCTCTCTCTCTCGCTTTCTCTCTCTCCCCCTCTCTCTTGCTTTCTCTCTATCTTTCTCTTTCTCTCTCTCTTTCTGCGCCAGAATTTCAGAGCCACAGATTACATGCGTGACATTCTCTCCCCAAAGTCGACACCTTGGGTCATCAGTAGTGCTGGCTAGGGCTTTCATATGTAAGGTTTCTACATACATGCGTATCTACGATTACACTTTCAGTTCCCCTTTTAAGGTCACCGTACTTCAACCATTCCTGGGAAGCCCCATGGATTATTATTAATTAAACAGAGAGTAGCACATCAACAAATTGACGGATTTTTAATACTAAAATTTCACCGAATAAAAATCTCGAGAGCCACTCGAGCTAGAGAGTGTTAATGTCGAAATGGTAATACTGAATGATCTGAATTGAAGAGGAGGTGGCATGAAGTGACGATTATAAGGATAAAGAGTACTGATAAGTAAATTAATCTTTATATCAACATCTATTCGGGAATCCCTATGTTTACCAATGAAATAATGATGGCAAGAAAATTAAAATAGTCTTTTGGTTGTGTGAGATCTGCAGATTTGTTTTTTTTATAAATGATTGTCACTACTTAACCCGGGATTCTAAATATAATCTTCGTTGCTGGCTATGGCTTTTTGTATGGTAGGTCAGTTCCTGCTTAACCATGATTACACTTTCAAGTCCCTCCTTTCTGATAGCCGTGCTTCAGTCATCCTAGGAGGCTCCATGGATTATTATTATTATTCTTATGATTATTATTATTTAATAAGAGAGAAACAAGCCAGCAAATTGACATTAGGTTACAAATATCCGAATTCTGATAAACAAATACACACACACACACACGCACACACACACACGGACACACACACATATATATATAATTTCGATGTGCACTTCGAACGTAGATATATGTATATTTATTAATATATACTTCTTAGCGCTCTCTAACCACATTGAGCACTGTTATGTTTACACCTTATATTAAATTAAGTAAATATTAATTCGCTTACATGTGTATGCACTCTAACGCACATATATACAATTGCTAATATCTGATTATTTGGTTCATATTCACACACACACACACACACACACACACACACACACACACACACACACACATATATATATATATATATATATATATATTATACGATTGCGTCTAACATGAAACAGCCTATTGACTCTGGGTGTTGACTTTAATGTTCACTTTTGTATTTATATTTACACACGCTCTATCTCTGATATTGTCCACTTTATCCCATAAATATAGCACACCTTAAAACTATATTTCTTCATATATTATATTATATATATATATGTGTGTGTGTGTGTGTGTGTGTGTGTGTGTGTGTGTGTGTGTGTGTGTGTTTGTGTGTGTGTGTGTGTGTTAAAAATAATAAATCAGTTGGTTTATAATCCAAGTAGTTCCTAGAAATATAAAATATTAAAACTGATCCACAAAAAGAGCTCAATGTATTTATTATTACAGATCAAATAAGTAGTACACAAAAATATGGAGAATAGGTTTATTTCAAAAATAATTTATACCGGGGTTGAATAAGATTGACGAATTTTTCGTCGGTTGAAATAAGCCTATTCCCTATACCAGGAAATCTGGGAATTTATTGTGTACCATATATATATATATATATATATATGTGTGTGTGTGTGTGTGTGTGTGTGTGTAAGTTTTGTGCACGTATTCATGTTTATATATATACATATATATATATATATATATATATATATATATATATATATATATATATATATATAACATGCATACGTGCACAAAACTTTCTTCAAACGAGAAAAATATTCTAAAATCAATAACTAACGCATAAATTAATTACATAAAACATAGCATAAAGATAACGAAAACTTGAGAAAAACTGCAGAAAATTGCTTAAACCTTCAAACGAGTGGACTGAACAATTACAAAAAGGTTCGTCTACGAAACTCTGGAGTCGATTTACTGAATATAACATCCATCAGCTAAGTGACAAATTTTATTTCGTTCAATCATATATATATATATATATATATATATATATATATATATCATATGGTGACAGTTTTTGATAAAATCAGTGTAATACTTTGCAGGAGTAGCCCAGTTAGAAATACCATCAGATCGAATAATCTAGACAGCTCTGCTATTCTTCGAGTTACGGTGTTCCCAATTATCTAGGTGTGACTTCAGAGTTCCTTTGGCTACCTCTACCTTCAAATTTAGCAAAAACAATTCCTCGATGCCTAGCTAATGAACTCCCCACTACTCCTACTCATCTAAGTGCACATGGTAAGGATCTATCTGGGGGATCTATCCAAATCTATACTAGACAACTGTCAAGCAAACGGTAATTCACCAAGGTAGAACATATATATGTTAACACATCCAATAAATGAAGAACTGGATCAATGAAAGTCAGGCTTGTTAAATCATCAGGTTATTATTATTACCATCCATCTGTAAATGAGGTTTCAGATAATATAATTGCAGATACATGTCTTGAGTAATATGGGTGCATTAAACTGGGCCTCATTATCGTAGAACACCCAGGGAGATCAAAGCTCACACTACGAGTCAAAGGTCTCTGTGTCAAGCCTGTTAACCTTGTAACAAGAAAAGTATAAAATGCCTCCTCGAATACTAAATGTCACAACCGCTTCCATTATTTTCTGATGAAAACTGTGGTATCAAACAGTTTTATACAATTAGTGAAAAAAAAACCTGGGGCTTATTTCTTTGTGTCGATGTCCTTTGGTTTGTGTTCATTCCTTGTTCTTAAGTTTTTAATGAAAGTGGTTTTACAACCAAATTAAAAGTATTGAAAACAGCACGCCAAAAGCATAAGACTAGTGTCGTCCGTAACGTGATGGTGTTTTAATCTTAGGAAGAAAATTTTACTTCTGTGGTTATTATAATTTTATTTTTCTGTCATTTTTGGCCATCCGTACTTCGGATGTCATGAAAAGTAGGTAAATTTAAGTGGGTTTTCATCACATATAGATAAGGAAAGTTCATATGGATAAGAAACGGTGATACTTCACCTTTAAACTGAATTGACAGATACCACATATCTTCCACAAAAAAACGTAAATTTACTGTATTTTAAATTAAAAAGTTTTTTTTTTTTTTTTTAACTTCAGTAAAATAATAACTAAATTAAGCAATTCACTCGAATATTATATTTCTATAAAGGCTACTTTATTTTTATGTAGACTTTTTAATAACAGATTATCAGTAGATATTAACATTGGTGTAATCAAAAATCGTTTTGAGTGACAAAGACTGATATTAAAAGAGCATAAAAGTGTTTACTATACGCAACAATTATATTTTATAAAGCAATTTTCTTTGAATGATAACTAAAATTAAAACTTCAAAAAGTATTATTGCAATAAGTTATTAATTTTTCCTAAAATATCCATCATACCTCCCTGGTTTATCTACGACGCTTAAATTATTTAATACGGGTATATATGGAGGTTATCCCTGCAAAATATGAAAACTGTATCTAATATGAACTCTTAGATATTTGTCTATATCTCTGAGATAAATTATTATGATTATTTGTATTATTTACATTATTCGGACTGTTATCAAGGATACATGGCCCAGTGGATAAAGACGTTGGTTAGATCCAGTGAGTTGAGAGTTCAATACCGGGCCACAGCAGTGGTGAACCAATACTTAATGAGTTGAGTAAAAGGGTTATAACTGAAACACCCGGAAGACGCATCGCACGTGGAACTCGAACAATCTACCCCGGTGGAGGACATAAAGGGTTCGGTTCGAAATTCCAAACACCTGAAGAAGGCCGGAACGTAGAACGGCCGAAACCTTGTGAATATGGCAATGAAGATGAGTATAACAGTCCAAATAATGTAAATAATGCAATTGATAAACCCTTAGATATAGAAACCACAGCAAGACATATTCTCTTCATTACAAAAAAAAATCCCCCGCCATATAGCTGGTATGGTAATTATATACACATATAGGGCTATAGGAAACAATCTGTTCTGCTAGTCAATCTATAGCTGGGCAGGTGGAAAAGAGGCGGATTCATACCTTTCCCAAGGATATCTGCCCGTAAATGAATGTAAAAAACCTGACTGGTATTCGAACTCGGCTCTCTGATTTTCTCATTCCGGACCGATATCAATTACAACATCTATTAAGTAGATTCCAAAAGTCGTGTTTATTAAAGAGGAAAGCTCATTAGAACAGTTGACATGAAAATATTGAAAGAAGGGGAGCTACGTTACGGCATTAGGAAAATGGCTGGTGACGAGATGCCAGGTCAGATACGAAAAAATTGCAGATTCATTTATGGGATGTTAACATAAATATTAGAACATATAGCACAAGAACTAGACCAGATTTTACAGAATTTCCAAAAATCTAAGACAGTTAAATTTTAAAATCTAAGACAGTTAAATTTTAAAATCTAAGACAGTTAAATTTCAAACATGCATGTTGGTTGTGCTTTTTACACTTGTGTGTTTTTTTTGGGGGGGTTTGTTTTGTTTTGTTTTGTTTTGTTTTTTTCGGGATATCATCGACATCCATTTAAAAATGATTTCTTCAATATTTTGATGTTTATTCGCATCCTCCCGATGTCTGAATAAATATCGAACTACAACAAAGCCGCATAAAGGGCGCGAAAAAAGTAACGCCCCTTTTTTTGAATTCAGGTGTATAGGACGAAGTGGTGCATTTGAATGGTCCTCACGATTACAGGACCTAACACCACTATATATATATATATATATATATATATATATATATATATATATATATATATATATATATAGTGGTGTGTACTGAAAGATCTTTGTTTACAGATTAAAGCCGAAAACTTAATTGACACAAGCAATTTTTGATAAATTTTCTGAAATTAATGTTGCTGATAAGGCTCTCTTGTATTAAAACATGAAGGATGCATTTTGAACATGTTAAATAGTTTGTTATCATAACAAATTATGTTGTTTTCATGCGATAATGCGTATAAATGTTGTTAAAATATTCTAATTTATCTTTTCAAAAAAATTTAATGAATAAAAAACGAGCGTTAATTTTGTCACACCCTATATATATATATATATATATATATATATATATATATATATGGTGGACTCT